TTGAGATGAAGAGAGAAAAAATTAATGTAATGGAATGTGATATAAGGGGGGGCAAACAAGGGCCATGTAGAATCAAGTAATTACCTAAATTGGGACATTGATTGCTCGGTACCATGAAAGAACAATATCAGTTATCTATCACTAGTAGAAATATATCCCACATATCCTCCAATGGACATACAAGAATGTATACTCCTTTTTCACTTAATTGTCATAAGAGCTTCAAGCCCCCATCACCATTTTTTCAAGAAAAGATTATCAATGCCGAGCAAGGGTTGAGGAGCCCGAACACCAACCTCATGCTCGGAATTGGTCGTGTTTATTTTTAAACGCGTTACTCTTTCAGATATTCAAATAGCAAAGTAATGATGTATTTGTCTATTTTCGGATGATAAAAATAGCCTACCCTGTCTTAGCAGAAGCATTGCGAGTAATTATAACATCTATAACCACTTGAATCTCGATAGATTTGATCATACACAATATTCAACTCTCTTTATATGAAATAGGAATCCATAAGAGTTGCCAACTGATTGTTAATGCATTTTGACTCCCGGCCTAAGTTCTCCACTCGTGGATTTGCAACAGAGCTGGCGCAAACAAAAGAACAACAATTTTCTCTTGGAGGTCTTCCAGATTTCAGCATTCCAAAGCTGCTCAAGCTGAAGAGAATTTTTTACCTCGATGCATTTCACTTGATAACTTGACTTATTACAGTCTGTTCGATCTTCGATTCCCGAGCATTAACATTCCCTTTGGCATCTTTCATAAAAGTCCTCAGGCAACCATTAATTACACGTGGCGCTGCCCCATCACAGAACCGCTTTGCAAGGTCAACAGCCTTCAAGAAATTCAGATGCGTTCAATGCATATGCTGCTATCAGATTAAAATAAAAGTTCAAGCAAGGACAAGTAGAAGAGAAAAGAGGGACGTCTCAACTCTCAAGTCATATCAACTGGAAGGAGTCGGCTAAGATACCTTTCAAGCGCTACCATACTAAGGGATTAACTAGTTCTAACATTGGTAAGCACAAACTTTAATTAACTCTCTTTTCATGCAAGAGCTGTCCGAATGCATCAGAAAAATTCCAAAAAGATCAAAGAAAGCAAGAAACCTCGTTTATGACTATTTGGTGCCGCGTCCCTAGCACTGCTATTTCAGACATAGCTAAGTGAAGAATAGAAAGCTCCAGAATTCTACCAGCCGGTTCATCCTGTGCAAAAGAACCCAAAAAAAA